AAATTGAGTTATAGGAGCTAGTGGGACAAGCATAAGCTAAGGCTGAGCATTCATAACTAATAATAAGTCTCCATACCATGATTTGGGAGCTGGTTGGTGGCCCCAAAGAAAGCCTGGTCCAAGTCCTAGGGAAGGGGCTGCAGCTGCATGGCCTTGGAGGAGCCATCACCTATCCTGAGCGTGAACCTCCCAGCAAGTGGCTGATTCAGGACCACCCAGGCCCCTCCCATAGTACCTCACGCATGTTTTATAAGTAAGTCTAACAAACGCATTGACTCCCCCGGGTGAACTTTGGTGGACTGGAACTCTGGTTTGTCACTTACGAGGAGGTAGACATTGTTTACATTTTCCCACAGAAACAGTTTTTTATAGCAGTGGGAGAACTTTCCCTTGTCTTCTGAGAGAGAATCTACTCTGCCCAACACACACACACACACACACACACACACACACACACACACACACACACTGGCCCACCAGTCGGTTTCCAGTGCTTAAATGAGCATGGATTCTGGAAAGTCAAGAGTTATTTCTTTTTCTTTTCTTTTGTTTTTTGGAGACAGGGTTTCTCTGTGGCTTTGGAGTCTGTCCTGGAACTAGCTCTTGTAGACCAGGCTGGTCTCAAAATCACAGAGATTTGCTGGGATCAAAGGCATGTGCCACCATCGCCTGGTGCCACGAGTTATTTCTATTCTATATGCTGAGTGCTCCCTCGTAATCTAAGGGCCTTGTGCTGAGCATGGAACTTCCTCCCCAAGCTCCTCCTCCTCCTCTCCCACCCCTTCCTTGTTCTTCTCCTCTTTCACATTCTTCCTCTTCTTCTGGAGCTGGGATGGAGCCCAGGGCCTTATGCATGCTAGGCAAATACTCTACCACTGAGGCATACCCCCAGTCCCTGGATTCTTCTACAACAAAATGCCGCTCACAACTGGAATGGTGAATTAAATTGAGACTCCCTTCTCAGATGGCTCTAGGCTGTGTCAAGTTGACAGATAAAACTCACTGTGACAGTGGTGTTTGGTTTCAGAATGGAGTGTGACCGTCAATAACCAAGTAACTAAAAAAGCATTGGGGAAGTCACTCATCTGGACCGTCCTCCTGACTGTAGGCTCTGAAACTCATTTTTCCAAAGCTCTGTTTAAGCAAAATTGACTATAAGATCCAAAAGGGGAAAACATCTAACACTATATATTTTTAAAGAAGATTTTTAAAAATTTAAAAGTAAAATGTAGTTATTTTTATTTAAGATACTTCCCCATCTTGAACACATTTACATTTTCTTCCCCCATTTGAAGTCCATTTCCTGGAAAAACATTTATAGCATATGTCAGCCCTTTGTTGGGTTATGAGATCTTCTGAACCAGATTTTGGTGATGGTTGAACAAAATTATGGATGTAGTGTCACTGGTGGAAATTTCATGTTACATGTATTTTTTTAAAGATTTGTTTTTATTTTTCAAAGTTATGTATATGTGTTTGTGCACATGAGTGTAGGTGTCCATGGAGGCCAGAAGGGGGCATTAGAACCCTTGGATCTGGAGTCGCAGGTACTTGTGTGTCACTAAATCCTGGGGCTGGAACTCAAGTTCTCTGGAAGAATAGTTTGCACTCTCAACCACTGAGTCATCTCTGCAGCCCAGCCCTGTGGAGGCAAAGGCAGGCCTGGTCTGCACAGAGAGACCCTGTCTCAAAACCAAAGGTGGGGGTGGGGGAGTCAATTTTTTTTTTCCCTGTTCGTGTGTGTGTGTGTGTGTGTGTGTGTGTGTGTGTGTGTGTGTGTGTGTGTGTGTAGAGGTGCCCATAGAAAAGGGTGTCAGATCTCCTGGAGCTGGAATCACAAGCAGTTGTGAGTCACCCTGCCTGTACTGACTGGTTTTGTGTTAACTTGACACAAGCTAGAGTCAGAGAGGAAGAAGCCCCAGTTGAGGAAATGCCTCCATGAGATCCAGCTGTAAGGCATTTTCTCATTTAATGATCATTCAGGAAAGCCCAGCCCATGGTGGGTGGAGCTATCCCTGGGTTGGTGGTCCTGAGTTAAGGAGGTGGGTTGAGCATGCCATGGAAAGCAAGCCAGTAAGCGGCACCCCTCCATGGCCTCTGCGTCAGCTCCTGCCTCCGGGATCTTGCCCTTTTTTTTTGAGTTCCTGTCCTGACTTCCTTCAGTGATGAACAGCAATGCTGAAGTGAGAATCCTTTCCTCCCCAGTTTGCTCTTTGGTCTTGGTGTTTTATCTCAGCAATAGAAGCCCTAATTAAGACAAACGGCCCTGGTGCTGGGAGCTCCAGTCCTCTTCAAGAACAGTATTTACTCCCAGTCACTGTGCTCTCAGCCCCTGACCGTGAACTTCTGATCTGCTTTTGCCTCCGCCTTCAGAGTGCTAGGGTTACAGGTGAGCACCACTACGCCCAGTTTATGCAGTACATGGGGATCAAACCCTGGCCTCTGCACATGCCGCAAGCACTCTGCTCACTGAGCTGTAGGCCCAGTCCTCCAATAAACACCCTTTTACTTTCAGTTTTATCCTTATGAGAGAGGCTTCCTTTCTTTTTATACCTAGACTTTGATGTAGTTTCTCAACGAACTTCCTGCTCATGTGCTTTGTTAGTGTTTCTTCCTAGTATGGATCTTCACTGGTCTTTTCCACATTGATTTGAAGGGACCAGCTCCCCATTTCGGCAGCCATAACAGCCAAACACGTATTTGTCTGACCTTGTCTTAGTCACTAAGGTCAGATGCCTGCCCCTTTCAGCAGCCCTGACAGTAACACGTGCTTTTCTGACCTTGCCTTGGTCACTAGAGGTTAGATGCCTGGCTCGTGGCAAGGAACCAATCAGAAGTTAGCTGGTGGAGGTATGCTTTACAGCTCTGGGTGTGCTTTAAGGACAAGCACACAGCAATGACACGCAGAGCATAGCCCTCCCCACCCTGGGAGGGCCTATGGGTCATAACAACCAATTGGCCAATCAACACAGGGCAAGCCCTCCAAGCCTGGAGGCACACCAATCCTGAGCATGTACGTACCCCTAGACACTCCCCTTAAGATGCCCTATAAGATCTCTATGCAGCCCCTTCGAGCTGTCTTTGCTAGCCATCTGCCATGGTGGGTGGGTGAAAGACCCGAGCTAACATGGGGTTAGCTCGTTAAACAACAATAAAGCCTCATGCTGTTTGCAGCAAGCTTTCGAATCTGCCTGGTGATTGGGGTGACCCAGGTCCTGGGCTGAGACCATGGAGGCCTGAGTTTTCCGGGGGTCTAACAGATTTACTCTGATTTTTTTATGTGTTGGATAGTTGGTCCATGTTTATAGGATAAGTTGCAAGCATAGTTTCCTGGCTTGCCATTTGTTTTTCCATATTACTTTGGCTTATCTTCAAATGTGTTTGAAGCCTTTTTTGTTTGTTTTAAGACCTGGTCTTGAACTCATGGTGACCCTCCTGTGTCTACCTCTGAGTTCTGGGATTACAGACATGTGACACCATGCTGTCTTAACTCTTGATGTGGCCAGAGATGACAGTGGGTAAGGGTGCCTGCCACCAAGCCTGCTGATCTGAGCTGTATTCCCTGGAGCCCATATGTTGGAAGGAGAGAACTGACTCCCACCAGTTGTCCTTTGGACTCTAGGGGTACACACACACACACACACACACACACACACACACACACACACACCTTTATTCTGGTTCACAATGGGAAGTATAGATTCTTGTTCCAAATTCTTGGACCTACTGCTGCACTTTGTATGGTGCTTCTTTAGCCTCTTGTCATGCACACCTACTATGCTCCTGCAACTGATGGGACCTTTGAGTGTATTTTAATATCTGATTGGGCTAGCTCTGTCATTCTGGTCTTCATTTCAGACTTTTCCTGGTTATTCTTGTTTATTTACTTGAATGAATCTTAAAACTTTATTTTTTCCAGAGAAAGCACTAGTAACTTTATCAAGATGAGTTTCAGGAGAGATGGCTCAGCCTGGCTGCTCTTCCAGAGGGCCTGGGTTTGATCCCAGCACCCACATAGAGGCTCACAACCATTTGAAACTCCAGTCCCAGAGGATCCAATGCCCTCTTCTGGTGCCAGGCACACATGTGGTACACAGACATATATGCAGGAAAATACCCATAAACTGAAAATAAGGTAACTTTTGGAATACCCAGGCAAACTGGCACAGACCTTTACAAAAAGATAAAGTTATAAATTAAAGACTTAAATAGAGCAGACTTTAAATTTTTAGTTTTTATGTGTATGAATGTTTTGCCTGGGTATATGGCTGTGCATTATGTAGGTGCAATGCCCCTGGAGCCAGAAGAAGCATCAGATCTTCTGGAACAGGAGTTACAAACACTTGTGAGCCACCATGTGGGTGCTGGGAATGAAACCCAGGTCCTCAATAAAAGCAGTTAGTGGCTCTTAACCAATGAGCCATTGATCCAGCCCCCAGATAATGGGCTTTTTTATTGCTTACAACCCAATAATAGCATTGGCCTTTCAGTTCAGCTGTTTGAGCTCCACGGTCATGTTTTGAAGTTGTCTGCTTACATAAATTGCCTGTTTCTTTAAAAGCTTGTTCTCATTAGGTCATCATTTGCTGTTGCTGTTTCTGTTGGTACAGATGGGGTCTTCTTTTCCATTTTTTCTCCCCCCCCAACATAATCTTTTTATTTATTTAGGAATTTCATATAATACACCCCATTGCACATTCCTCCCAGGTCCACTCTCCCACCCTTGTGCCCCACCCAAAAAAAGGAAAAGAAAAAGAACCCCTCCTCAACAAGTCCAATTTGTGTTTCCCATATACTCACTGGGGCATGGTCACACTCAGTGGCCAGCCCCTCAAGGAAAACAGTCCTTCCCCACTCCAGGTAGAAGGCATCAATTGTGAAGAGCTACACATGCGTGCTCGTGGTGTGTGTGTGTGTGTGTGTGTGTGTGTGTGTGTGTGTGTGTGTGTGTATGTGTGTTTCAAGACAGGGTTTTTCTGTGTAGCTCTATCTGTCCTGAAACTCGTTCTGTAGAGCAGGCTGGCCTCAAACTCACTGAGATTCACCTGCCTCTGCCTCCCTAGTGCTGGAATTAAAGGTGAGCGCCACTGCCTCCAGGCTCTTCAGCACAAATTTTAAGGGCTCTCTTTAATAGCTTCATCAAGTCTACTGTAAAAGAAACTTCCTTTCCATAGTAGCTTGTGGATCATAACTTCCGCGTGGACTCAGAGGCAGCTCAGAGCACAGACATCAACAGGGCTTTTCTAGAGGCACAGGGTCTCCAGAGGTAACCCGGACCACAGACATCGACATGGATTTTGTTGGCAGCACAGACTACAGACATCAACACAGCCTCCAGTGGCAGCACAGACCACAGAATTCCCTCGAGGAGGCTCAAACCAGGAAATGAATCACTCTTTGGCTTGGACATCCTGCTGCTCAGAGTCCAGGTGATCGTGTTGTGGGCAGTATGCCTGGGGCAGGACTTGCTCAAGCCCCAGGCTGCTGCTCACCACCCTGCCCTCAGCGTCAGCTGCCATGCTGGTACCCCAGGCACGACCAGCATGCTTGCAGCTGAGGCAGCGCCTCCATTTTATTATTTAACTAGTGTTGTTTTAGTTATTCGCCACTCTGAGTAACTGTTAGGATCCTCTTGTTTTAGTGAATTTCAGTGATATTTTGTCCTAGCTCGCTTTCTATTGCTGTGATGAACATTAGTATAGATGGAAGTTTCTGCCCCACCCCATCCTGTAGCTGTTCAGTCCCAAATAAACACACAGAGGCTTATATTAATTACAAACCATTTGACCTATTGCTCAAGCTTATTGCTAACTAGCTCTTACAACTTAAATTCACCCATTATTCTTATCTATGTTTAGCCATGTGGCTTGGGACCTTTACTCAGTATGGCATTCTCATCTTGCTTCTTCTGTGTCTGGCTGTGGAAGAAAATGTCCCCTGAGACGTGCCCACTGGCCAATATGAGGGAGGCAATTCCTCAGTAGGGGCTCCCTCTTCCCTGGCATGTCACGTTGACAACCAAGATCAGCCATCACACTCATTAAAACAAAACAGAACAAAACAAATTTACTTGTTTAGTGTGTGTGTGTGTGTGTGTGTGTGTGTGTGTGTGTGTGTGTGTGTACATTCAAGAGCAGGCTACAGCAGGAATGTGGAGGTCAGAGAATAATTTTCAGGCCCACTCTCTATCTAGTGGGTCACAGGGATCAAGCCCTGGTGTCAGACATGGTGGCAAGTGCCTCTTTACCCAATGAGTCTGCTTGACAGGCCCTTCAGCGACTGTTAAATATAAAACCATATTATTTGAGATTAGTTATGGCTTACCATCTCTTTCCCAAGTATGTGTGGTGTGTGTGTGTCTCGGGTAGGCATGGAACCTGAGACACACACACACACATCCTTATATAAGTAAGGATGACTTGTATTTCTGAGCCTCCTATGTCTACCAGCTGAGTACTAAGATCCCAGTTGTGTGTCAGTATCACCATGCTCACTTGCTACAGTGCTGGGGACTGAGCCAGGGCTCCCTGCCAGGCAAGCACTCCATGAATGGAGACCCATTCTCAGCTCCTCTCTTTGTGAATGGAGACCCATTCTCAGCTCCTCTCTCTGTGAATGGAGACCCATTCTCAGCTCCTCTCTCACACTTTTCTCTCATCTAATTGCATCTGTGAGCAGCCTCAGGCGGTGTTTTTGTTAATGGTGGTGAGGGCATTCTGGTCTTGCTTTTACTTCAGCCTGAGGCTGCCATTGTTTCTCATCAAGGTTGATTCTGGGGACTGGAGCAGCGGCTCAGCAGTCCAGAACACCTGCTGCGTTTCCAGAGGGGCTGAGATCGGTTCCCACATCTGGAGGCTGATGTCTCCACGGCATTTGCCACTCTCTTTTGAGAACAGTGAACTCATATGTACACATGCACATGTACTTTAGTGGACATGCGTGAGCACACACACACACACACACACACACACACACATACACACACACACACCAAATAATAACATCAATCTTAAAATAGATTCTAGGGCTGGATAGACGGCTCAGCAGTTAGTTAGGAGCAGCAACTTCTCATCCAGAGGACCCAGGTTCTGTTCCCAATAACCACAGAGCAACAAAACTGTCTGTAACGCCAGTCCTGGGGTTTCCAGCATCCCCTTTTGACCTTAGCAGGCACCAAGAATGCATGGAGTGCCCACATACATACAGTCAAAGCACCCATATATGTCAAAGAATAATGAAAATAATAAATAAATAAGGTAGGGTCTGGACTAATAAATAAATACCTATGAGGAAGTTCTGCATATTTCATGGGGATTTTCTTAAATCAAGAAAGCCCCCTCCCAGGGGCTGGAGAGATGGCTCAGTGGTTAAGAGCACTGGCTGCTCTTCCTGAGTTCAATTCCCAGCAACCACATGGTGGCTCGCAACCATCTGTAATGAGATCTGGTGCCCTCTTCTGCCCTGCAGACATACAGACAGACAGAACACTGTATACATAATAAATAAACCTAAAAAAAGAAAGAAAGCCCCTTCCCTCCCAAATTAATATCAACTAAGATCACACCATTTTTCTCTTAAGACATGAAAATACCAAGATTTCCATAAGTTTGATTGTTTTGAGACAGGATCTTGCTATGTAGCCCAGGCTGGCCTCTAAATTCCGCAATCACCTTTTCTTAGCCTTCCAAGTCCTGGGTTTATGCATGAACCATCAAGCTTGGCTATAACATACCTAGACTTTGATAATGGACCATTTTTCTCACTCATATATCAAAGCTCACAGTTCCTTTGGGAATGTGTCCCTCAATTCCATTTCTTTGCATTTTACTTAATGTTTTTGCATTGATATCCATTTCTTTGCATTTTACTTAATGTTTTTGCATTGATGTTTCTAAGTCAGGCTGGTCTTTTGGTTCTCTTTGTGTGGTCTTTGAGGGTTTGGGTAGCAATGTTACATCTACTCTGGAGTCATTTAAAAATAAATCATCTGGGGTTTCTCAGAAAACACAGGCTATGTGAATTAGGTCACAAACCAATGTGAAGGCTAGTTTGTGGTTATACGTTTTCAGGGGATATTTTTATTGCACCTGACTACCTCGAAGATCAAAGTAACAGGTTTTATTAGTGACACCCCCCCCCCCAGCTCTTGGCTGTAATCAAACACAGGACCTTGCACACCCCAGGCATCAGGCACATCCTTTAATACCAAGCTACATTCCAGCACTCTTGCTTCATCCTTTGGTGTGTTAGCTGCGTGTGGGTTTCCTGGCCATCTCTCCACCTTCAGAGGAATTCCTGGAAAGTCTGTGAAAATGAAAACATGGAGCCAAGAAAAACTGCCACCCCAGCTTTTCATCATCAGTGGGTTTATCGTTCGTTCATGATTGCTTCTGTGACATTTGTGACTTCCCTCAACACATTTAAAATCGCATGTTTTTACATTGAAAGCAAATCTGTTTTTCCTTGCTTTGCATTCAGAAGGCTATTAGCATACATAGCCTCCCCCCTAGCTAAAAACAGCTGTGATGACTCATCACACAGGATACTGGAATATTCAGTAATGCTAAAGTAATTAAAACTGCATGGTTTGGGTGTAGAAGTAGACAAATAGGTTAATGATGTGGCATGGAAGCCAGGGAACTAGCTGTGTATGTGTATAAAAATGAATGACAGAAGCTGGGGGGTGGTGGCGCATGTTGAGGAACAGAATATTTGTTTAACCCTGTAAAGATGTGTTGCATTTGTTTAAGTATGTAAAGGCCTTGTGCATTTGTTTCACCTTGCCTGCCTAAGGCACCTGATTGGCCTGATAAAAAGCTGAACAGCCAGTAGATAGACAGTAGAGGGATGGACGGAGCTGGTGGGCAGAGAGAATAAGTAGTAGGAGGAGGAACTAGACTCAAGAGAAAAGGAAGGAGAGAGAACAAGGGAGAAAGAGAGGAAGATGTCTGGGGCCAGTGGGCCAGATACAGAGGAAGCAGGAAAGTAGGACATACAGAATGAAAGAAAGGTAAAAAGCCCTGAGGCAAAATATAGAAGAAGAAAAACAGGTTAAATTAAGTTATAAGAGCTGGTGGGAGAAGCACAGGCTAAGGCAGAGCATTCCTATCTAATAATAAGTCTCCAAGTCATTATTTGGGAGCTGGTTGGCAGCCCAAAAAGAAAGCCTGCTACAGGTCCACACCTTTAATCCAAGACTCGGGAGACAGAGGCAGGAGGATCTCTGTGAGTTCAAGGCCAGCCTCATCTACAGAGCAATTTCCAGTATAGCCAGGGCTAAACAGAGAAACCCTGTCTCAAAAAACAATAAGTAATAAATAAATAAATAAATAAATAATTTAAAAAAATGCTAAGGGCATGGCTAAGATGGTTCAGTGGTCAGGAGCACTTGCTGCTCTAGCAGAGGGCCTGGGTTCAGTTCCCATCACTCATGTGGTGACTCATGACTATAACTCCAATTCCAGGGAATTTAATGCCTTCTTCTGGTCCCAGGGACAATGACACAAGTGGTACATAGACAAACATTCAGGAAAAACACTCATATATAAAAAATAAAATTTAAAAAATAATTTTTAAAAATGAATATTAGCAAAGAATGTTTGCATGATCTTAACACTCAGTGGTATTGACATAAGGTATTTACCAACATAGTTAGTATTAATTTATGGTTTAGTATTATAAATGTATTAGTAGTAGACTATTGGGGATAATAAAGCTGCAACTCATACCATTCTCAAAATTGATTCAAAATAGATGAAATGAGTAAACATTCAAAACCTTCAAGTCACAAAATCATTCAATGAAAATACAAATGTTTATAATCACTGAGAAGGGCAGAGCCACTGCAGCAAAACATATACACAGACATACAGAGACTTACAGAGACATACACAGACATACACAGACATGACTACACAGGGCACATACACAGACATGAATAAACATGAATACACAGAGCACATACACAGACATATACAGGCACAAATACACAACGACATTACACAGATTCATGCAGACATACCCAAGAGCACACATACACACATGATCACATCAGAATACGGGCAAATAACTGTAAGGATGAAGTTCAAAGGTAAGACATGCTCCATGATACAAAAACATGGACTAGCTAGATGGCTCAGTGTGTAAAGTCACTCAGTACCAACCTAAGGATCTGAGTTGGAGTCCCAAGACCCAAAGAGTAGAGGCAAAGCACTGACCCCCCACACACACACATTCAGTATAATGAAAATAAAACAAAACTTAAGAAAAGAGATCAAGCCTGGCAGTGATGGCACATACCCAGAACTCAGGAGACAGAGGCAGGCAGATTTCTGAGTTCGAGGCCAGCCTAGTCTACAGAATGAGTTCCAGGACAACCAGGGCTACACAGACAGACCCTGTCTAGGAAAAAAAACACAAATCAATTTCAAACTTCCTATTTAATTAGTTTCTAGGGACATAAATTTCAAGATACAAACTATATTTAGCATGGAGGATGGTAAATGGGAGGAAAAAATATAAACTCAAATTTCAATTTCTTTTCCTTAAATTGACAGAAGTTATGGTTTGCTGCATATTCTATTCAGTTTCTATTCTACTCTATTAGAAAAAGGAATGGGTGAAATATTCCCTGTAAAATACGATTTATATAAGGCTGGCAGCTGTTGACTGTCTGAGAAATAACAGAAAAAATGGTAATCTTTTGTTCCATATGCCAAGGGATTTTCTATGAAAGGGCCTTGAAGAACATTTAGACATGGAGAAACAGTGACCTCATTAATGCCAAGCACATTCACACGGGAGAATAAGCACACGTGTGTCGATGTGACAGCCAGTCAGAGGGTTGCGATGGACAGTTAAATGATTTACCTAAGGTCACGCTGGAGATCCCAGGGAACCATTTGACTAACATTTTCATACATGTTAGCCATAGATAATAACTCCATGTGTTTCTTTTCCAAGAGAGTGGAATAATACCTTTTAAAAGATTTATTACTTTAGTGTGTGTGTGTGTGTGTGTACGTGTGCGTGCGTGTCAGAGTGCACACATGTGTCAGGGTACATGTGTAGAGGTCAGGAGTTGGGTCTCTCCTTCAGCAATGTGGTGCCAGGGATTAAACTTGGGTCCTCAGAGTTGGCAGCAAGCACCTCTACCCACTGAGCCTTCTCACTGTCACAAGGTTTTTCTGTAAAATACAGTTGACTTTATTTTCTTATCACAAAAGATTGTGGAAGATTTGGAGAGTGAAAGTATGGGACAACAGTGAAGTCACTGTCATGCCATCATAGTCTCAGGAACAATGTAGTCAGGGGAAGTTTCCTGTTTTCTTGATCAATGCCCTTGTCTAAAAGGCTCATGAACTCCTGAAAATAGATACAGATTTGTACAGATGTGTACATTTTTCTGAGAAAAGAATTCATATAGGGAGCTCACAGGTTAAGAGACTGACTGCTCTTCCAGTTCTAGGGGATCCTTCACCCTCGTATAGACATAAATGCAGGCAAAATATCAATGCACATAAAAATAAACAAATCTTAAAAAAAAAAAACAAGAATTCATTAAGGTGTTATTCCCCCAGATGCCTTCCTTCTTGACTTTCAGAGACAGAGTCTCTCAGGCCTGGGGATTCTCTGACTGGGTTAGTTAGAGTGGATGCTCATCCACTGGGGTTATAAGCACACAGCTTAAAACATGTATTTATAAAGCCGGGCAGTGGTGGCGCACGCCTTTAATCCCAGCACTCAGGAGGCAGAGGCAGGCGGATCTCTCTGAGGTTAAGACCAGTCTGGTCCACAAGAGCTAGTTCCAGGACAGCCTCCAAAGCCACAGAGAAACCCTGTCTTGAACGCCCCCCCAAAAAAAAACAACCAAACAAACAAAAAACCCATGTATATATGAGTATGCCTGCTTGTATGGAGGAGCCCTAGGGGGCAGAAGAGGTGTCAGGTCCCCTGGAACTGGAATTACAGACAGTTGTGAGCCACCATGTGGGTATTGGGAATTGAACCGGGGTCCTTTGGAAAAGTAGACAGTGCTCTTAACTGCTGAGTTGTCTCTCCAGCCCAAGACAACCAGCTTTTAAATGTGGATTCTGGGGATCAAACTAAGGCCACCAGGCCTGTATAGCCAACACGTTACAGACTCAGCCATCATCTCTGCCCCAAGTGCATAGTTTTTCATATATTGGAATACAGTTAGGAATGGTGGAAAGATTTACCTCACGAGTCAGTAACATTCATCATCAAGCATTATTCAGTGTGCATAATTGTATGTGCTAGACATTTCTATGATTGACAGTGCAGTGGAGTTATATACGCTGGTAACACCAGGAACACACTTACAGTACATAGTGCTGAGATGTGAAAATGGCTTCAAGGTCACTTGGCAATTTGAAATTTTCATCCACGTTATGATTGTATGAGACCATCATGCCCCATGTTAGCATTCCTCAACACCCTCCTGAAGAGGAGGGACATTACCTTGCAGTCAAACACCATCCTACTGCTGAGAAGGTATGGATATTCATTCATACGAACAACTTCTCTTATAGCAAACAACGTAAGACATAGAAACGACAAAATGCTTGACTTTAATCCCAGCACTCTGGATTTCTGAGTTTGAGGCCAGCCTGGTCTACAGAGTGAGTTCCAGGACAGCCAGGGCTACACAGAGAAACCCTGTCTCAAAAACTAAACTAAAAAATAAAATGGGGTTTAGGGGATGGTTAGGAGGGAGAAAAGGGAAGGGAGAAATGATATAATCTCAAAAATGAAAGAAATAATTAAAAATAAGTAAATACTTTTACATTTAATGAGCTTATTTTTCCTGCTGCTGAGACAAACATCTGATAAAAAGCAACTTAAGGACAAAGCATTTGTTTGGGCACATAGCTGGTCCAGTCAATCATGGCAGGAAAATCGTGGCAGGTGACAGGGCTGAGGCAGCTGGTCACATGGCATCCCCAGCAAGGAAGCAGGAAGAGATAAATACTTCTCTTCCTCTCTGCCCCCTTTGTCTAACTGAAAGGGTTTCATATAGCCCAGGCTCCCCTCAAACTCACCATGTGGCTGAAGACCTTGAACTCCTGCCCCTCCTGCCTCACCACCCAAGTGTTGGGATTACAGACATGAACCACACACACTTGGCTTGTGTCCTCTTTGTTTAGACTGGTACCCCAGCTCACAGGATGCTGCCACCGTAGTTCAGGTGGGTCCTCCCTCCTCAGTCCAGTATCTCTGGAAACGCCCGTGCAGATGTGCCCAAAGGTTCTAAATCTTATCAATGGGCTGGGGAGACAACTAAGTAGTTAAAGTGTTTGCTGTGCAAGTACAAGGACCAGAGTTCAGGTCCTCAGAACCTACATAAATGCTGGGTGGGTATGGGACTGGCCTGTAATTCCGGCCTGAGAAGGCAGAGAGGGGACCCCCAGAGCAAGCTGTGTCTCCCCCTCCCCTAGGACTCTGGGTTTGAGTGGGAGACCCTGCCTCAATGAATAAGGAAGAGGACTGGTTGAGGGTAATTCCTGATATCAATCCCAGGCCTTCACATGCTTGCATGCCAGTGTGCCCACATACACAGAAACATATTTACACACACACACACACACACACACACACACACTCCCCCACACAAATGGAAAAAAATAATATATCCCATCAAGTTGACAATATTACCATTATAGTAGTGAACTGCTTGTTTCAAATCCTTTGCCAGTCAAATGTTTCCAAGGATTCTGCAGAGGACAGCCACTGTGTGGAATGCGCAGAGGTATGTCAGAGCCCACCGTTGTTTTCCCCTGCCCTGGGGAGCAGAGGCAGTGCCTATCAAAAGAGAGATGTGACAGTGGCCTTGGAAATAGCCCTTCTAGGTTTTTTGAGTAGCTGTGACCATCTGTGGTGTTTTTCTTCAGTTCTTGATTTAGGTAGCAAGAGAAACTGGAATTATTTCAAAATCGACCTTGACACGACCTGAGATCTGTAGTACTTTTTCTAGACTTCTGAGAGTTGCAACAATAGCAACTTCTGAAACTGGAGTTTAGAGAGGCTCCACGGTGTGAGACTCTGCACTCTGGATTGGAAAACAAATGGGCTGACAAGATGGCTCAGCAGGTGAAGATGATTGCTGCCAAGCCTGACTTGACTCCCAGGATCTGTGTAGTGAGAGGAGGTAACTGACTCCTGCTTCCACATACATGGCATGTGTCTTAGCTAGGGTTTCTATTGCTGTGAAGAGATATCATGGCTGCGGCAACTCTTATAAGGAAAACATTTAGTTGGGGCTGGCTTACAGTTCAGAGGTTTAGTCCACTGTCATCATGGTGGGACATGGCGGCACGAGGGCAGACACAGTGTTGGGGAAGCAGCTAAAAATTCTATATCTGGATCTACAGGCAGCAGGAAGTGACAGTGACACACTGGCCAGGCTTGAACTTCTGAGATCTCAAAGCCTACTCCCTAGTGACACACCTCCTCTAAAAAAATGCTACACCTACTCCAACAAGACCATATTTCCCTATAGTGCCAGTCCTTGTGAGCCCACGGGGCCATTTTCATTCAAACTGCCACAGTATGGTATGTACATGCACAGACATACACAAGTGAGCACACAAAATAGATACATAAAAATGAATGAACAGGAAAAATAGGCTGGGCCTGGTGTTGGTGGCCCTCGCCTTTAATCCCAGCACTCGGAAGGCAGAGGCCGGCGGATCTCTGTGAGTTCGAGACCAGCCTGGTCTACAAGAGCTAGTTCCAGGACAGGCTCCAAAGCCACAGAGAAACCAAACCCTGTCTCGAAAAACAAAAAACAAAACAAAACAAAACAAAAGGCTGATGAGGTGGCTCAGTGGTTCAGAGAGAGTCCTGTTCTTGCAAAAATCCTAAGTTCAGTTCTCAGTACCCCAGTCAGGCAGCTCACAACCCCGTGTCATTCCTGTTCCAGTCTGGCGGGGGATTCCAGTCTCTGGCCTCTGGAGCACCTGCACACTTGTGTTCTCTCTCGCACACACACACACACACACACACACACACACACACACACACACACCTTAAAATCTCTAAAATCTTAAAAAGAAAGAAATATTGGGTGCTGGACAAAGAGCACTGGCTGTTCTTCCAGGGGACATGTATTCTATTCCCAGCACCCACATGGTGGCTTCTGACCAACTGTAACTCCAGTCCCAGGGGATCTGATGCCCCCTTCTGGCCGTTGTGGTCACTGCATGCACAGGATTCACAGACGCATGCAGACAAAACATAAAGTTAAACAAATTGGAAAAGAGAAAAGAAAAAAAATACAGCATGAGATGAAGGGACATGACTTCTAAAATGGCAACTCTATTATTAATCAGGATAACTGTTGTGAGTCAGAAGGAAAATATTCCGAGCTGTAGGAAATTTGTCTGACACAGCTGGAGCTCCAGTGACTAAAGAGTTGATCTGCCCTTAAGAGGCTGGGCCAGGAGTCAGTCTGAGTGTGAGTACAACAATGGTTTAACCATAAAAGGCCTGCCTTGTGCAGAAATGCCTAGAGGAGACAGTCTGGGTGAGCAGCAACCCCACAAACTCTTCCGAGGCAGCCTCATGTCATTTTTCTATGTCCTTATGTCTTTCTGGTGGCTTCTATCCTCAATGTGACCTCAGAGATGTCTTCACATTTTATTTACTTGTTTTCAAAGTTTTCACATGTTCCTGTGCGTGTGCGTGTGCGTGCGTGTGTGTGTGTGTGTGTGTGTGTGTGTGTGTGTGTGTGGTCTGCATGCTTACTCATAGGGGTAAAGAGGCCAGAGGTCAACCTTGGGTGTTTTTCCCTCAGGAGTTGTCCATCTTTTATTGAGACACAGTTTCTCGTTGGCCTGGAACTCATCGACTTGCCTAGGCTGACTGGCCACTGAGTCTCAGGGATCAGCCTGTCTCTCCCTTCCCAGCACTGAGGTTATGACCTCACGCCTTCCCTGTTCTTTTAAGGTGTTGTTTGTTTTCTTTTGTTTTTTTGGTTTTCAACAGAAGTGCTGAGGATCAAATTCAGGTCACGATGGCTCACACCTTCAATTTCAGCACCTGGGAGGCAAGGCAGGGGGTCTTTGTAAGTTCTAGGCCAACCAATCTATTCCAAGAGTTCCAGGCCAGCCAGGGCTACACAGTGAGATTCTGTCTTTAAAAACAAAACAAAACAAAACAAAACAAAACAAGTCAGGTGGTGGTGGTACACACCTTTAATCCCAGCACTCAGGAGGCAGAGGCAGGCAGATCTCTGTGAGTTCCAGACCAGCCTGGTCTACAGAGCAAGTTCCCGGACAGCCAGGACTGTACAGAGAAACCCTGTCTCAAAAAAATAAGACAAAACAATCCCCAAAGTCAATAAATAAAAACAAGGGCTGCTGAGATGGTCTGAATTTCATCTCTGGAACATATAAAAGGGAGAAAGAGAAACATTTCCACAGGGTTGTCCTCTGATGTCCACCTATGTGTTTTGGCACATGCCCCTTTACACAATTATACATACAGACACTGATAATAATAATAAAATAATACTAATAATGGTGATGATGATGATGTGGTTGAGGAGAGGGCTCAGTGGTTAGCTGCTCTTCCAAAGGACCAGGGTTCAGTTCCCAGCGCCCACATGGTAGTGCACAACTGTCTGTAATCCAGCTCCAAGTGATTTGACACCCTCACACAGACATACATGCAGGCAAAACACCCATGCACATAAAATAACAACAAATAAATAATTTTTTAAAATAGCAAGCCCTCTTTGTCATGATAAAAAATGAGGGCAGGGGAGTGGAGAAATCACTGAGGTGAAGAGCACTCCTGCAGAGAGCCTAGGTTTGGTTTCCAGCACCCACATGGGGATCCGAGACCCTCTTCTATGCACATCAGGCCACACAGACATGCTGGTGAAGCCCTGTGCAAGTAAAATGGAAAGAAAAAACTAAATCTTTAAAGACTGTCTTTGGCAAATACATGACAATGACAGTAAAAGCATGTGAAGACCAACGCCACTGTGAGAGCCATCCCTCAGTGTCTCCAAGAGAGGAGGCTACACAGTTAAGAGCTTATTTCAGGAATCTTAGGTGCTCTGAACAGACCTTCAACTTCCCCTTCCTAATTCACTCTCATAAAGGATTATAAACCAGAGAGGAGTTGGTTTAAACAAAGCAGTCAGAAGACAAGCAGGCGTCTGTGAACTCTCTCTGTTTGGAGTCTTGTTCTCTCTGTTAGGGCACTCTGCTCTCCTGGCCAGCCTGCCACAGACCTCAAGGTCAAACAGAGGGTGTTTTTTTATTTTTAGTTTTTTAAAATTTTAAGGTATGGGTCCTCTCACATTGTTTGCTCATTTTATTGTTGAAAATAACCATCTATTTAGCTAGCTAAATGGCTCCTCCCCACAACACACACACACACACACACACACACACACACACACACACACACAGAGAGAGAGAGAGAGAGAGAGAGAGAGAGAGAGAGAAAGAGAAGGTGAACCAAAAGGACTGGCTTCTCACAGCAGAGGTGTGTGTGTGTGTGTGTGGGTGTTTGTGTGTGTGTGTGTGTGTGTTTTATCTCACTCAACAAAAGCCAACCAAACAAGTTCTAATCTTATTAAATGCCGGACAAACACAATGAAAATAAGACTTCCAATTTTGAGATGGAAGATAGAGCCGGGGCAAAGATGCCCTCGCAGAATAAATCGTGCCAACATAATGCTAGAGCTGTCAACTTGGTGGGGGGTGGGGAGAGACTAAAAGTGCATTAATAACCCAACAGCCAGCTGACTTCTTCACATGAGGAAAATTCCGTTACAACAAACAGCCCCGGGCTTTCAAGAAGCTTTTGTTGAGTGGTTATAAAGAATATATCGCTAGCAATCATGTTTTGGGATCTGAGAATGAAACCTAACTAATTTTTTTTAAGTGAGAATCACTAGGGATGGGGGGTCATTGCCCACAGGGCTACTCGGAAATGACTGACTTTACTCATTAAATACCTGACCTTTGGCATGGGTGCTCAGTTTGGTTGCAAAAAAACCAGGCTGGAATTTAAACCCACTTTCCCCTGTCAGAAAGCCACAAGCTGTACAGCCTTTCATGGTGGCCTTGGTTTTGCAAGATTGTCCTTTGAAGGCCTATTTATAAAGTGACTTTCTGGCATTTTTCTTCCTTGAGTCTGTCATGACATGAATCTTATGGTACGTAGACAATTAGTCAGCATTCTCTAGAACACCAGAACCCATAGAAGAAATGCATTCAAATATGTATTGCAAAGGGGACATAACAGATGGCTTACATGATTTGGTCTAGAGAATTAACAGTGCCTATATGCACACTGGAAAGACTAGGAACCCTATAGGCATTCAGTCCACGAGTCTAGATGCCTCCAAAGTTCCAATCTGGACTTGAAGGCTTGGAAGACTCCTGAGAGTCTCTGGCCTTCAGACCATGTTGGAAGGTTGGAGAAATTGGGCTCCCTATCAGCATGGTGGCAGAGTGCATAACTCACCAGCAAACAGCAAAGACGTAAGGCAACGTCTACACTCCCTTCCCCTCTTTGTATCTGGCATGGTACCCTCAGGGAGGGGTCTCCCCATAGCTAATCCTTTCAGAAAATGCCTTCCCAGATCTGCCCAGAGGTGTTGATCCCAGGTCCAATCAAGTTGACTACGAAAGCAAACCCACAGCCTTTGGAACTACAGAGAAATTTTCATTTAGGATCTGTCCTAGTGCTATCTTCCCTGCTTTTGGCAGCATAGATCCATCCCAGGAGGGTCTTACAGCTACTTAACACACTGCAGCTCCTAAACACACAATGCCTCTAGCAAGACACTGTACAGGACCCAGGGGACTTTGTGTGGTGGTATATTATTTATGATTTATTAAAGCTTGCCTGAGGATTCAGAAAGCATAGTTAGCCTCAAGCTATAGAGATCAGGCAGTGGTGGTACACACTTTTAATCCCAGGACTCTGGATTAAGAGGTAGATGGATCTCTGTTAATTCAAGGCCACACTGACAACATGAAATTGATCCAGTCCTAAAGAGAAACAGCTCACACAAAGATGATTTCAGCACTTGGGAATCACACTCATGAGAGGTATTTAAGACAGGAACAGGGTCTCATACTCTAGCCACATTGAGGATAGGAAGGCATTGTAGTCTCAGGATTCTCCAGCCATGCTGATGAGAGGCAGCAGTCTGAGGTTTGGTGGAGCCAGGATTGCCTTTCATTCTGAGGTAGAGTAAAAGTTAGTGGCCAGCTGCTTTGCTCTTCTGATCTTCAGCATGAAACCTGAACCCGAATATCTGTCTCTGGGTCTTTTGTTTGTCGTGCTACAGCCTTGTCTGTCTGGACAGAGCTGTCTGGCATATGATCTCCAAGGCAGCTGTCTTAGCTTGGGTTCTCTTAAAAACACAACTTTCAATAAGAATCTAAGTAGCTTACTTCAGAGGGTACCCCAGGAAGCATAGGAGGGATTGCAGAACTGAAATAAGGGAATTAGAACTACTGATGGAGGGCACTGGAGAAATGGCTCAGTGGTTAAGGCCACTGGCTGCTCTGCCAGAGGACCTGGGTTCAATTCCCCACACCCACATCACAACTCACAACTTTCTGCAGCTCTAGTTCCAGTTCTTCTGACACCCTCACACAGACATACATGCTGGCAAAACACCAATGTGCATAAAAATAAAAATATTATTTAAAAAAAGAACTACTGATACAGGTTTCATCTAGCCGTGGGTGCTGGAGGCCCAGTCCCTTTGGCCTCACTCACCATGAGAGATTCCACAGAACACACCCAGGCGCAAGGGCAAGGATACGAGGTTCTTCACTGTTTTCTGCCTTGTTGCTTGGGGTTGCTCCTGGGGCTAGGACTAACATGGCCCTGAGTCAGAGATGATACCAGTGCTTTGGACCTGAAGCTCTGGTGCTGCAGGATGTGGTTCGAGGCTTGAATCCAGTGCCTCATGCATGCTAGGTGAGCAAGCTGACAGTTGAGCGATGGCCCAGGCCCCAACATAGAAATTTTTAGAGTTATGGTGAACAAAGGCAAAGGAGATGCCTGAGTGGTGACACTAGTGTGTTCCCAGCTACCGGAAAGGGAGGGGTGGGAGGATCACTTGAGCCCACGAGTTTGAGTCTAACCTAGGTGTAACATTGCAAGATATCATCTAAAGAAAAAATGAAAGGAAGGCAGTTTGTTATTAAACCCTAATAGCCTGCCAGCCTCTTTGGCTTCTTTCTCTCTTTCTCTCTCTATTTCTTCCTTTCTTCCTTCCTTTCTTTCTTTCTTTCTTTCTTTCTTTCTTTTTTGACAAGATCTCACTATGCAACTCTAGTTGTCCTGGATCTCACTCCACCGACCAGGCTGGCCTTGAATTCACAGAGATCCGCCTGCCTCTGCCTCCTGAGTGCTGGGATTAAAGGCTTGCACACTTTTTGGCTCCAGTTCCTGTTGTTAGTCTCTTACTGTGCCCAATTTTTAAGTTAAACATTATCACAGTTAAGTTTGTGAGTGAAAGACCCAATGTACACATGGAGGGAACTGTGCTGCCCATGATTTCAAATCTCCAGTAGGTTCTCAGGACACTCCACACTCAGATCAGGGGGACTGCTATCTGTAAAATGCTCCCGTCCAAGTGTATTATAAATCCTATTGGATAATAAAAAAACAAAAATTAGGCCATGAAATTGGGAGGGGTTGGGGCAGAGGTGTGGGGTGAATATAACAAAAATATATCATATCCATGTATATTTTAAATTATAAAAATTAATACAAATACAGTATCAAAAAGAAGACAATTCTTATGGGGCCACCAGATCTTTAGATCTTCCAATTACTATGAAGGTGATAACCTCAACTGTAAACCTATACCAGTATGTAGCTTCTTGGTGTGGGTTTTGAGATTGCATGTGTTTCCCTCTATCATTCTACCTATTTTAAGATTTATTTTTATTATATTTAATTATGTATGCATACGTTGCTGTGCAGGCATGTACACATGAGTGCAGGTGTGCTCTGAAGCCAGCAGAGGGCGTCAAATCCCCTGGAGCTGGAGTTACAGGCAATTGTGAGCTGCCTGAGTCGGTGCTGAGAATTGAACTCGCCCTCTACAAGAGCAAAACATGCTCTTAACTGCTGAACCATCTTTCTAGCACCCACTCACATTACTTGTGTGCACCGAGGTCTCTCTGTGGTTCTCGAGCTCACCAACTCACCCAGACTGACTAGCCAACAAGTGTCAGGAATCTTCATGTCTGTAGGTTCCCAGATCTGGAATTAGAGGTATGTTTTGTAATGCCTGGCTCTTCATGTGTGTGCCAAGGACCTGAACTGTGGTCAACTGAGATCTCCCACCAACCCCCACTGAGTGTGTGGCTTCTACTGTTACTTAAGCACTGTACTCTTCTCAAGGCTGAGATAAAAAACAAATAAGCAATGTGAAACTGGAGAGATGGCTCCGTGGTTAAGAGCACTGGCAGTTCACAACTGTCTGTAAGTCCAGTTCTAGGGAATCCAACACTCTCTCACAGACATAAATGCAGGCAAAACACTAATGCACAAAAAATAAAAATAAATAATTATTTAGAAAAGAAATACCTTAAGAGAGGAAATGTCTATTATGATTTACAGTTCAAGGACACACAAATCGTATGAAGAAATCATGGCACAAGGATGTGAGATGGCTGGTCACATTGCATCTGCAGATAGGAAGCAGAGAGCAGACAGAAAGTGGAGCCTGGCTATAAAACCCCAAGGTTCACCTTTAGCATCTGCTCTCTCTGCCTTGTGTTGCTTGATTTTTACTCTTTGGGGATCTACCATCCAGCTCCCAAATAAATCACACACAATGAGGCTTAGAAGCTTGGCTTGTTTCTAGCCAGCTTTTCTTAACTTTAAAGTATCCCATCTACCTTTTGCCTCTGGGCTTTTACCTTTCTCTTACTTCTGCATATCTTACTCCACAGCTGGCTGTGTGACTGGGTGGCTGGCCCCTAGCATCTTTCTCTCCTTGCTTTCTTGCTCCTTCTTTTCCTCAGATTTCTCCTCCTGTTTATTCTCTCTGCCTGCCAGCCCCAACTATTGTATCTCCTGCCTCACTATTGGTCATTCAGCTCTTTATTAGACCATTAGGTGTTTTATTTATTTGTTTTTTTTTTATTTTTGAGACAGGGTTTCTCTGTGTAGCTTTGGAGCCTATCCTGGCACTCGCTCTGGAGACCAGGCTGGCCTCGAACTCACAGAGATCTGCCTGCCTCTGCCTCCCGAATGCTGGGATTAAAGGCATGCTCCACCAATGCTCAGCGATTAGGTGTTTTAGACAGGCAAAAAAAATCACAGCTTCGCAGAGCTAAACAATGCAATATAGAAGAATGCAATACATCCTTGCACCATCAAAACAAATGTTCTACAGCATAAACAAATGTAACATACTTTAAAATAAGTTTCCACAACAACCTCACATCAAGAACCACACCCCCACTGGTGACAAAGTGTTCAAACACATTTGCCTGTGGCTTACTCCTACTCCTTTACACTGTGTGAATATACGTCACACAGTGATTGGTTTAATAAAGAAGCTGGCTGCCTATAGCTAGGCAGGATAAGGTTAGGCAAGAGAACCAGACTGAAAATCCTGGGAAGAAGGGTGGAGTCAGGGGAAACAGGAGCAGACACAGAGAGGAGCAAGATGGGCATGACATACTGAGAAAAGGTACCAAGCCACATGGCAAAGTGTAGATAAGAAATGTGGGTTAATTTAAAATGTGAGAGTTAGCTAGTAACAAGCCTGAGCTATTGGCCAAGCATTTGTAATTATTATAAGCCTCTGTGTGGTTACTTGGGAATGGCTGGCAGGCCAGAAACTTCTGCCTACATGCCCCTATGGAGAACATTTTAACATTCGACCAACAAATGACTGGGTTGACAGATAAGAGACCTTTATGACAATTGTCAGAGAATGTCACTCCTGATAAAGTTCTCAACAGAACAAAATTAGAGACAACCCTGCCCCATCCCAGGTTAGACACTAGTGTATGTTCCTGGAAAAATCCATGAACACAACTAATAAACCTCATTGTGGTTACATAGAAAGTAGTTAAGACTTGAGCTGCAGTTCTTATGAAGCTGTGTGTGCGGGTGTGGGTGTGTGTATGTGTATATGTGTACACGTGTAGAAGCCAGAGCTGATTCTGGTGTCTCCATGCATCATTCTCTACTTTCTTTTATGTTAATTTTTATTTTTAATTACATATATGTATGTGTGTGTCTATATATGGGGCATACATATGTGTGAGTGCAGGTGCTCTCTGAATCCTGAAGAGGGCGTCAGATCCATGGAGCTGGAGTTCCAGGAGGATGTGAACCATCTGCCTTGTGTACAGAGACCCAAACTTGGATCCTCTGCAAGAACAATATGTGCTCTTACCCATGAAGCCATCTCTCCAGCCCCGCCCCCCAAAACCATTCTTTTTTGAGACAGGGTTTCTCACTGAGCCTGGAACTCAGTTCAGAGACACTAGTTGGCCAATGAGCCCCAGGTCTTCCGGTCTCTGCCTCTCCCGCAGTGGGATGGAGATGCATGTTACCGTGCACAGCTTTTCACATGGGTGCTGGTGACCAAATGCAGGTCCCCACACTTACATGACATATTTTTTTTTCTATTGCTGTGATAAAATACCACTGCGGGAAGAAAATTATCTAAGACTTATTTGGGGCTGGTGGTTCAGAGTAATAAGAATCCAGCATGGCAGGAGGCATGGAGCCAGGAGCAAGAAACTGAGAGTTCACATCTTCAGCCTCAAGCATGAAGCAGAGGGAGAACTGGGAAAGGGATACAGCTTTAAACTCGCCCGGCGGTGGTGGCACACGCCTTTAATGCCAGCACTCGAGAGGCAGAGGCAGGCGGATCTCTGAGACCAGCCTGGTTTACAAGACCTAGTTCCAGGACAACCTCCAAAACCACAGAGAAATCCTGTCTCGAAAAAACAAAAACAAAACAAAACAAAAAAAAAGCTTTAAACTCTCAAAGCCCACCCCTCAGTGACGTACTTCCTCCCGAAATTCTCCACTTCCCCGTAACCTCTCCAAATAGCACCCCACCATCTGGGAATGAGCTGTTCAAATGCCTGTTCTTGGTTCCAGGCCTCTGGCTTCAATACTGGATCCTCACTGGGACTCCTATGAGATATCATGCTGCTGCCGGTGTTATGGAGATCCTGCAGCTTTGAATCTGCAGGACTAGCTCCTTCATGTGCTCCAGCGGTTCTTGAGGTGGGGTGGATGGTGCAGTGGGCTACCTCTAAGCTCTGGATCTGGGCCCCGGGTGGTAGCTGAGTTGGTCAGCCTGCATTCTCTTAGGCTTGCACTCTCCCAGCAAGGGGCGGGGCCAGCTCTCCTCTCATGGCCTGGGCTGCAGGGGCTTTTCTCCAGTGCCCACATCAATACATGACGACAAGCTTTCCTGCACTCACCTCCTCAGGCTGGCTAACCTGCACCCCTACTGGTCAGCTCTACTCTGCTGCACAGGTGAGGCACTGGCCGCCCTTCCAAGTGCAGCAGCTGGTGAGGTTTGGTCCAGCTCTCCCATTGTTACTCCCTCAAGGCCAGCTCTCCCACACTGCCTTGTTGAGGGATGGGACCAGCTCTCCCAAGTGCAGTAGCTGGTGAGCGACTGGGCCAGCTATGTGCAGCCCTTGGACATCAACATGGCCGCAGGTGGTAGTCCAGACCAGGGGTCTCCCCATGTTCTTTGGTGGTGGCATGGGATACACACATTGACCCAGACCACTGCTGCTGCAGGCCACAGACCCAGACATGGCCCTCAGTGACGTTATGTGCCAGGCACCTATTCTGCCATCTGAGTGCCAGGCCTCAGATGGCAGCATAGGCCACTCACATCAGGTGGTTTCTCACCACTCTTAAATCAACGGTTCTGTTTTTCTTCAAAGTACACAAGTCATTCCACTTCTGTCTCTATCATCAATCCATTACTGGTTCATTGTAGTGGGGCCTGCTCCACTCACAAAGTATGCACGCATGCAGGAATATCTCAGGTGT